TATAAAGAGATGAAGGATTATCTTCACAACCTCATTGCACAAGGATGGGTGAAGAAGTCCAACTCACCTTATTCATCACCAGTTGTCTGTGTAAGAAAGAAAGATGGGAGTCTTCGACTATGCATAGACTACAGAGAACTGAATAAAAAAACTAATCCAGACAGACAACCCATTCCACGAGTGCAGGATATCCTTGACAGTCTTGGTGGTAACTCTTGGTTCTCCCTGTTAGACCAAGGGAAGGCTTACCACCAGGGATTCATGGATGAGAATAGTCAGCCATTAACTGCATTTGTGACTCCATGGGGTCTTTATGAGTGGATAAGGATTCCCTTTGGGCTCATGAACGCTCCCGCCGCCTTCCAACGCTGCATGGAAGAGTGTCTGCAGGAGGTCAGAGACAGCATTTGTGTTCCCTATTTGGATGACACATTGGTCTTCAGTCAGTCATTTGATGACCACCTTGCTCATGTGCAGAAAGTACTGCAGCTATTAAGAGGATATGGGATTAAATTAAAACCTGCCAAATGTGAACTCTTCAAACAGGAGGTCCGCTACTTGGGGAGGATCGTTTCTGTTGAGGGCAGCAAAATTGATCCAGCAGACACCATCGCTGTGAGGACATTGAAAGACAAGAAACCCAAAACTGTTGGTGAGTTACGTGCAATTATGGGACTGCTAAGCTATTACAGACAGTACATACAGGATTTCTCACGGATAGCAGTGCCATTATACAACCTGCTGAAGGACTCAACTGTAAATCAGCCACAGAGTAGGGGAGATAAAAGACAAGTAACAAAGAGAGGAGCCCCATCACACAAACCAATTGAGTGGAGTGATGAACATCAATGCACACTGGAGAGGTTAATAGACTGTTTGGCTGAACCCCCAGTCCTTGGTTTTCCAGATTTTGCAAAGCCATTCATTCTCCACACAGATGCATCTGATAAAGGCCTTGGCGCAGTCTTATATCAACACCAAGATGGTAAGCTGCGTGTAATAGCCTATGGTTCCAGAACTCTGACTACTTCTGAAAGGAATTACCATCTTCACTCAGGAAAATTAGAGTTTCTGGCACTGAAGTGGGCCATAACTGAGAAATTCAGAGATTATCTGTATTATGCCCCAACATTTACTGTGTTTACAGATAATAACCCACTGACCTACATCCTGACGAGTGCCAAATTAAATGCAACTGGATCCAGATGGGTGGCTGAACTGGCAGATTTTCATTTCACCATTCGCTATCGTCCAGGTAAAGAGAATGTGGATGCAGATAGTCTTTCAAGAATGCCAGTGAACATTGAGGAAGTGATGAAGCAATGTACAGAAGAACTGACATCTGACAGTGTGGCTGCTGTGACACAAACTGAGGCCAAGTATCCCATCTCATATCACTTATGTGCAGCGCTAACATCTCCTGGATGGGATTCAGAAACTGAATTGATGAAAAAAAAAACTGTCAGCTGGTGAAATATCCCAGGCACAGAAAAACGACAAAGACATTGGTCCCATTATGCAGTACAAGGCAAACGATCTTAAACCATCATTGCAGGACATGTCAACACTAAGTGTTCAGAGCAAATGCTTGTTGCGCGAGTGGGAAAGGCTACATATTGATGAACATGGGGTCCTTACCAGAAAGACAACAAACAAAAAGCAATTAGTATTGCCTGAAGTGTACAAAGCTACAGTGCTAAAAGAGTTGCATGATGAGATGGGCCATCAAGGCACTGATCGGACAACTACACTGATCCGGGAAAGATTCTATTGGCCTTATATGCAGCGTGAGATTGAACATTATGTTGCACGGACTTGCACCTGCCTTAAACAGAAGAAGCCACATAAAGAAACGCGTGCACCTCTAACCAATATCATTACCACACAGCCATTTGAACTAGTGTCAATCGATTTCCTGCATCTGGACAAATGCAGTGGTGGGTATGAATATATATTGGTTGTTGTGGACCATTTCACTCGTTTTGCCCAGGCATATCCAACTACCTCCAAGTCTGCCAAAGTAGTTGCAGATCGAATATTTAATGACTTTGCTCTGAAGTTTGGGCTGCCCGCAAGAATTCATCATGATCAAGGTGGTGAATTTCAGAACCGGCTTTTCTCTCAGTTGAAAAAGAATTGTGGTGTGTTGGGTTCACGAACAACTCCTTACCACCCACAAGGAAATGGGCAAGTTGAGCGATTTAACAGGACATTACTACAAATGTTAAAGACACTGACTGATAAAGAGAAGACAAATTGGAAAGAATCCTTAAACAAACTCATCTTCGCTTACAACTGTACAAAGTCAGAGATAACTGGATTCTCACCATTTTACCTTTTATTTGGACGATCCCCAAGGTTACCCATCGACCTGCTCTTTGGACTCAGCTCAGACGCAGAAAACACAGATCATCTTGCTTATATGGAACGATGGAAAACAGAAATGCAAGAAGCCTATGCACTCGTCCAAGCAAATGCAAAAAAATCCACAGATCGGAGTAAAAGACATTATGATGCAAAAGTGAACAGTTCAGTTTTGTATCCTGGTGATCGTGTACTAATTAGAAATCTGACACCAAGAGGAGGCCCCGGAAAACTTCGCAATCATTGGGAGGAACATATCCATGTTGTCATGCGTCAGATTGTCATGCGTCAGATTGGAGAAGATATCCCAGTATATGAAGTCAAACCAGAGCAGGGAAGAGGAAGATCAAGAATTCTACATAGAAACTTGTTAATGCCATGTGATTTCCTGCCTCTTGATACTCAACAGAAAATAACAATAAAGAAAAAAAAGACAAATACAGTCACAGACATCTCTCAAGAAGGAGAGGACGATGAGGATGAATGTGCATATGATTACACTCCAGTAATACAGTACCAAGAACCCACACAAGATATGGATAATGAATATATCCAAACAAAAACGAACCAGGAAGCACCAAATGGGGACGAGGAGGACAAAGATTCTGATGAAGGGGTGACCAACACAGAAGAACCTGAAACACAAGAAGAAAATGTGCGGATTGAGACTGACTATCATGTTGAGGATCTGCAATTGGCTGAGGAAATGCACAGTAACATCCCAGAATCCTATGACTCCCAGACAAAGAGCCAAGAAAAACAGCTTGGTGATATGCCGAAAAGAGAGAGACGGGCTCCTAAGATCTTCACCTATGATCAGCTCGGGACTCCGTCATGCTACAGCACAGTGCAGGCAAATTAACTTTTGTATCAATACCAACCCACTCCTTATAAAGACTTTCAACTAGTGAGGTGGATGTACCCTTTTCAAGTACATCAACCAATGTTTATGCAAGGATATTAGATTGTAGCAGAAAACTCTGAAAAGCTAGATATCATCTTGCTGGTACTGAGAAAGACTACTTAATGTACGCGCTTGGTGTTCTTGAGGTTGTAGTTTATTGATGTTGATGTCGGGACGACATCTAGTTTTGCAGGGGAGTGTGTGACACATTGAACAATTGAATCTGATAAATATGTTTTTCTGATCTGTGTCCTACGGGCTAAATTTCGCTGAGAGATGATCCTGTGATTGATTAGTCATGCCTTCTTAGGACTGAAGGGGCAGCTATTAGCCACGATGTCTCATTCCTGCTGTGTCTGCCTGAATGGAAGCATCGTGTCTGAGCTTCTTTCATTCTTTCAAACTGTTTTCAGTGTGCAGGCCGCAACATACACAGGAAGTCTCATTGTCTCCATTTACTTTCAGCCATTGAGGCCAGAAACACTCTGAACAAAAGCGAATCAAGAATGCAGATTGTCGTTAGCTTAACTTGGCTGCAAACGTTTAGCTCTAATCAACCAATCAGAGGACAGAAAATGCTGATGTGGGGACGGGCCCTCTAAATATGAAATCTGATTGGATGAAGAAATCATTCCTCGCTAATATTGTTAAGGTAACATCAGCAGCACTGCTGATTCTGAAGGCCCTGGGCAGATTTGACTGACATAGCAACACACAGAGGATGAAATGTGATTGGACAGAAAATGGAAGCAGCGTAGCCAACAGTGACTCTACACAATTAAGAGAACAGATTTTATGAAATAAACCAATATAGTTGGAAAAAATAAAAGTTGAGATTATGAATGTAGGCTTTGAAAGCCCTGAACCCAGCACTGCTTCAGGGTCAAGCAGCCCTAAATCCTCCCATGGGTTTGCTTAATAGTCCCTGAAAGCTGTGGTGAGCACCCTGTTTATCTTTTTCTTCCACACTTTTTCCTTCCACTCAACTGTCTTAGTGTTTGCAAAAGCTTTTCAGAAATTTTGCATTTTTGACACGTTTTTTAAATAAAAAAAGATCAGTCTTTTTCACTTTTGTGTAATGAAACTAAACGAGTTTCACCTCCTGAAATTAATGACAGAAAAACCACTTTTATTAAAAAATTCTTTTTTTTAGTTGTACGGTTATAAACAAGCGATGAAAGAGTCTGGATCAGAGACCAGAGGAACAGCTTAGCTGCTCCTACTGTCAGTGGGACATTAAAGGACGTCTGTTGAACCTTTAATAATCCTGTTGAATATTCTTCTTTGCATCTTCAGTAAATGAGAGCACTGGTGGGTCAGAAACTTCCCACAATCCTGCTCTGAATATGGCGTCCCTGGGTGGGGGGAGCTTGGAGGTGTTGTGTTACATTTGTTCTCCTGTTTCATTAAGAAGAATGCATCCAGGACTGATTGCTAAAGGTCAGATTAGGAAATCTGTTGGCTTTCCTTTAAATCCTAATCTTTATCCCTAAATAAAGGAACCCAACTGCATCATGTCCAAACATCTCCTTTTTCTCTGAATCTGACTGGATCGAACTCTCTTAATATTTCTATCTATAAATTTGAGGGTTTTTTTTCGCAGGAACTGATTATAAATGAAACAAATTAAAATAAAACTGAATAAATAAATCATTGAAGACCATAAAACCTTGAAGAGCTCAAGGTTATTATTTAATTAAAGGGTCATTGGATTGAATAAAAAGCTTTGAAATTATATGAAAGAGTTGTTTATTTGTTATTAACAAAGTTCAGTTCATATTTATGTACAGTGGACTGGTTCCAGCCTTAATAAATAAAACATACATTTTCAGACCGATTAAAAAAAAAAATTATAAAGTGTATGAGAGCAAAGGATGGCTGCAGAGTATTAGTGTTTCTAAGTATTTCACAGGAGCCTCACTGCCCTTTAACCTTTGACCTGAGTTCTGCTCTGAAGTCTTCTGGTTTTAGGTAATATTTTGACCACAAACTGATCCACTTGTTATATTCCGTACCCTCCTCCTCTCCCCTAAACCCAGCATCGTTATCTTTGTCAGAGCTGAACCTGCCACCACTGCCCCCCCTCTGGCAGCTCTCCTCAGGGGTTCCTGAGCCCAGGAGGCTGGAGCTACACACAGAGCAGATCCTCAGGTGCTTCTCCGGTTGGATGTGTCCGATCACTGCGCGGTGCTTGGAGCACCTCCCACAGACCAGGAAGCCACACTTTCTACAGTGGTGTCGCCGCTGGGTCGCAGAGAACTGGCGGGAGCAACGCATGCAGGTGCAGGAGGCTTCATCTGGGACCCAAGCGACAGCAAAGCTTGGCCGCGCCCTGCTGGGGTCCCATCGCGGCAGTGTGGACTGGCAGTCAGTGATGTGGGAGATCCAAGCCTTCTTCTCTTCAGCGGATGCAGCTGCTACCAGGAAGGACTTCCGTGGGGTTTGGATCAGCCACTGATTCTTCATGGTCAGGCTGTCCTCCATGTCCTCCAGCCGGATGTCCTCTGAAATGGAGATAAAATGTAAAACTGATCAAAATATGAACATCTGGTAAAAGCACAGCAAATAGGACTGCAGCATCAGAGGAAACAGGGACTCCAGCTGACTTAGCCAGAGGAGCTCACCTAGAGGGATGATCTTCTGCCTATTGTACCAGCGGTGGGCCAACAGGATGTTTCCATACACCAGCACATCGTTGAAGAGGAAGAAGACTTTAGCCTGAGGCCCGCGGCGGCACCCTTTCATCAACCTGCCCTCTCCGATAAGAACCCGACCCGGCTGGTACAGGGGTCTTCCTGAGGAACCAAATAACTTCTCTACAGCCTGGATCCGCTCATGGTTCTCCTGGGAATAGGTCATCATGCCTCCCTTCTGCTCACGAACATGTCAGTCGTCTTTCTAGAGGAACTGTGGCCCAGCAGGAGTATTTATACTCTGACCTCGATGATGAAACGGCTTTCCAAAGAACAACAGCTGGAGGATGTTAGGCAAGAGCTTGGGAGGAACCAAATCAGGCTGAAAACATGCTTTTCAGAAATATAAACTGTTCTGGAAACAGAGAGAGCCACTAAGCATTTAAAACCAACTTCCTCTGATTTGTAGAACTTCAGCAAGAAAAACTACAGTCAAGTTGTAAGAATAAGAATATTACTGAATATTTCAGTTTTCTCTGCTGGCTTTGGGACAATTTTTATAACTATTGACTCTATGTACAAATAAAACCTTTCACCAAATCAGCAAAACATCGTCATGCTCTTGCAAAAGCTAATAACCCTTTCTTAGCTTTTCAAACTTTCGTATAAAGTGTGTTTGTTTTATATCAGTTAACACAAACCATCAGATTAATAAGGACACAATGTGCCAACTGCACATCTGGCTTTTGCTTTCTCTTTACAAAGAAAGCTACATCAGTTTGACGTCACACTTTTGTGATAGTTCTATAAACACACATCAAAAACAAGTGTTTTATCCAAGTCAAAATCATTGACAAATAAAATTATTAGCAATTCGATCCATATTAGTAAAACACACAAGAGGCTTTTGACTTCTAGCTGCACATATAATTATGTTCCCTCCACAATCTTCCTGCCTCCTTGTTTTAGTGAGGTTCAAACCTTCCTCATCCACAGAAAGCAGCTCATGATCTTTAGCGCCATCCCTCTCTGGAAAATAAAGTTCAGCACAGCTGGCTTATGTCCAGTATGCACTTCCACATTCAGTATCAGAGATGCTATAGCTTAGCTGCACATAGTCATATCGCAGTGGTTTTACATTTTTACTGTTTCTTACTGTAGTTTGTTTCATTTGGATTCTGCAAATGTGCAAAGCAGTGTGTGTGCTTTTAGTTTTGTTATAAGTATTAATAGTTTTAGAAACTGTGCTAAAAAATTCACGGTTAGGGTTTAAGTATTAGAAAATAATCTTTAAGTGTCACTACCAAAATACACTACTTACACCCTAACTTAACCTACAGTAGCAGCCATTCAAAATGGTCCTTCCCAGTCAAATACCAGCCGAATGGCCTTCTCCTGGGCATGCATTTATTTTTACTCTTGATTCCACCCTTTCCCTGAATTACAGGGTCTGACCAGCAGATGGCGCTTCTCTTTAGATCTTAAAGTCCACAAATCATGACAGAAATAATGTTTTAGTACAAAGATTGATGTTTAAAAAGGAATTGAAGGGGACCCGCCAGGGACCAGCCAGAGACCAGCCAGGGACCAGCCAGGGACCAGCCAGAGACCAGCCAGGGACCAGCCAGGGACCAGCCGGAGACCAGCCAGGGACCAGCCAGGGACCCGCCAGAGACCATCCAGGGTCCAGCCAGAGACCAGCCAGGGACCAGCCAGAGACCAGCCAGGGACCAGCCAGGGACCAGCCAGAGACCAGCCAGGGACCAGCCAGGGACCAGCCAGAGACCAGCCAGGGACCAGCCAGGGACCAGCCGGAGACCAGCCAGGGACCAGCCGGAGACCATCCAGGGTCCAGCCAGAGACCAGCCGGAGACCAGCCAGAGACCAGCCAGAGACCAGCCAGGGACCAGCCAGAGACCAGCCAGGGACCAGCCAGGGACCAGCCGGAGACCAGCCAGGGACCAGCCAGGGACCCGCCAGAGACCATCCAGGGTCCAGCCAGAGACCAGCCGGAGACCAGCCAGAGACCAGCCAGAGACCAGCCAGGGACCAGCCAGAGACCAGCCAGAGACCAGCCGGAGACCAGCCAGGGACCAGCCGGAGACCAGCCAGGGACCAGCCAGGCACCAGCCAGGGACCAGCCGGAGACCAGCCAGGGACCAGCCAGGCACCAGCCAGGGACCAGCCGGAGACCAGCCAGGGACCAGCCAGGGACCCGCCAGAGACCATCCAGGGTCCAGCAAGGGACCAGCCAGGCGGATGATGTTCAGCAAGTGGTGGAGTTGGGATTAAACTTCCACAATGAAAAAAAAACAGGTTCCTTCTGGTTCTATAATCATTTTTTGAAAAATAAATACGGTGAACAGTTTATATATGGACCAGTGGCGGCTGGTGGAGTTTTCTCCAATTCCCTCCAATTCAAAATAGACGTTTAGCATCCAGTAAAAAAGAAGGCCAGAACTAATGGTTAAATAATTTTAATTTGCCATCCATGTCATTAACCAAAGTAAGAGCTACGTAGAAACAAATAAAGCCATTAGACTTCAGGTCTCTCTAGATATGCTCCATGAAGTCCTCTAGAAATCTTCAATAATTGTTGTTGATTGCAGATGTGTCTAGTAGTTCCCATTGATTTTGCTTGTAAAGCAGGGAGAATGGCGCTAGGCTTGCCGCACCGTGACGTCACTGCTGGAAGATGGCAGGAGGGAGGGGCTACTATATTTGGGCAAAAATGGCGATCATCATGGCGGTGATCATGACGAAAAACTTTTTTTTTTACTACTACTACTTACTAAATTCATTAAATCACAACGGATGTATTATTTTCAGGTATAAATAATGATCCATTGATTATTCCTTCCTGACCAGACTTTTAATTTAAACAAACCATTAACGTCCATGTCACTCTGGATATTTCCTTTTCATTCCCTCCTCAGGACGCATCAAATGAAGCTACGGCTCAGGCCGCTCTATATGGCCAATAAGTTAGCCACTATAACTTTTATTATAATTGAAGTATAAAAGGGGCTGAGAGGGGCAAAAAAATGGTAAAAAATTTGCTTTATTTCAAAATAACTTCTCCTTTATCTGTTGGTGATGTTACAGATGAAAAAAAAAAAGAGTGAAATAAAAACTACAGAAGTCAGCTGAACATCAAACAATGACAAGTCCTCCATATTTAATCTGTTTTTTATCTGTGCAGACAAATGTTGAAGGTTCCTGCAGCCATCATCAAGGCAGAATTGGGCACTGTGGAGTCAACAAGTCATCTCCATGTCATGTATTTAATCTACCCAGCCAATTAACCAGGTGAGTCCAATCTGCACAGGTTAATTCACGGTGAAGATTGGACTCACCTGCTTCAGTGACTGGGTAGAACAAACACATGACATGGAGATGAATTGTTGACTCCACATTGCCCATTTCTGCATCACGGATCTTTTATTTCAAAAGGGACGTCTGGCAGAGCAGGAGAAGAAGAACCTCCCAGAGGTCTACTGAAAGAAAAGTGTGTTCTGCCACAGTCTGAACTCAGCAGAACCCACTCAGATCTGAGTAACTGGACTTGTGTTGGCTCTGCACAGACTGCAGGCTTTGTGCAGTTCTTTGTTCGTCCAGCAGGGGGCCGTCAGAGGACAGTCCCTACAGGTCGATGGTTCCCTTTACTTTGAACTTCTTGGCAGAGCGTTCGCTGGCCCGCATCTCCAACTTGTTTCCATAGATGTGCGACACAAAGCCGTCGATCTCCACAGAAAAAACACTGTTCCTCTTTGGTATCACTGAGTGAAGGAAAAAAAGACAAACATTAGCAGGTCTGACAGGCAGAGACTGAGGGGACGGCAGGGGACAGCGGGGACCTCTGTCCGTAGAAAGGATGTTGGGTCAATCAGCCATCATCAAACCTTAGGAACAATACTAAAGTTTGCCACTGTGAGCTTTTTCAGGTTTGTTTCCATCTTGGACTAAAGATGAACTGAACGTTTCTTATTTCAGCGGTGAGGAAAGGAGTCAGGTCTCCCACTTCGTGGAGGCGTTTTCATCTCCACTGTGCGAAACATCATCTGCTGCTAATTACTCTCTGATCACCTGTGTAAACCAACCTTAAAGTTTGGTAGTACAGACATAGATAGACCTCGCATAATCAGGTGAGAGGCGTGCCGATAGAGCGGCCATCTTGGGTCGGACCAGGCTGATGGATGCTAACCCTACTTTATGACTTTAGAACCTCTGAATCCAGTGAACTCTCAACTGATTTACAAATAAACTCTGACTGAAAAATATAGTTTCGCCGTCTACATGGGACCAACTGTGTGATCTGATTTTCTAACTTAATACATAGTTTTGATTTTGTATCAACAGTTAGCAAACTTCCAGAGCTGCCTCTCAGGATGTCTGACTTTCATTCCACCTATGAATGCAACAATAAAAAGAGACTACAAACCAGATCCAGTCCGATTACCTTTCATTAATAGGATTTTATGACAGATTATCCTCATGTTTCACAATTACTGCTTTTCTAGTGTTTAAACAAAATGATAAGAGGCAGGGATGAAAACAGAAAAGAGAGCTTAGAACGTTAAAACGCAATGATTTTATCAAGGTGTGAATGAGGATATATATATATATATATATATATATATATATATATATATATATATATATATATATTTATCAGATGGAGCTATTGTCTCCAGCATTAAGCCTTCAATGCCTCCATCTTCCCCTCTGACACAGCAGCTTCATCTGGTCTGGCCTCTATCCTGGAGCGAAATATCAGCTGTTCTGCCAATAGATTATATATATTGAAGCTTGGCCTGTTTTTCGGTGTTTAGTCCCGTTTCTCGCCCCCAGCTCTGGGCTCAGCTTCTACTGGGACTGGTTGTTCTCTCTTTCATCCTCTGACATTGAAACTGATTCAAAGCTCATCTCATTAACCGTTTCTTTCCCAGGCAGAGCCCCCTGTGTTGTTAGCTTAGCGTTAGCTTTTCTAACATAGAAAATGTTTATAGATCAGTGCTTCTATGTTCTTTTTCTATGTCTGCTTCTGTCTCCTTGAACCCCAGTCGGCCTCAGCAGATGGCCGCTCACACTGAACCTGGTTCTGCTGGAGGTTTCTTGCCGTTTTCTTCTCCACAGTCGCTGCGTGCATGTTCAATGTGAGGGATTACTGCAGAGTCAATATCTTCTGTCTCTCTCTGCTAATCCTGTAGAGTCAATGACTGGATGCAACCAGCTGTTTATGAAGCTTTAATCTGACTGAATGATCTGGTTGGATTTGATCTATAGAAATAAACTGAGTAGAAGCAGTGATACTGGATAAGGTGAGTAATCAGGACGTTAAAGGAGAACTTCACTAACCTTTGGTTTTGTCTTCCTTAGTGATGATCTTAAACACCTGCTTGAACTCCTGGATCAGGATCCCAGTGATTCCAACGTAGGCTGGACATTTGGACCGCACCACTGTGAGGGCAAAGACATGCCTTAGAGGGACGGGAAAGAGGCAGACTGGTTCTGATGGACCTTCTGTTGGACCAATGCAGGTACCGTCACATCAACACAATCTTTTTTTTTTATATATATATAAAACTGGAAACGTACATATATAAGCCTCACCGGGCTATGAGCTGCTGATATCTACTGAAATCTTTCCCATCAAACCTGTAGGGGGAGCTCTACATATACCATTGGACTAGGGACGAAGTAGAATGCTAGCTCCCGTTAGCTTGTTAGCTCGCAACAGTAGGAGCTTCATCACGTTTTATTTCAGCTCTGCAGGAGTTGAGCTCAGTCTCTTCATTGGTTCGGCAGCTTTAATGCAGCAACTAAATGTCAAAATATGGGACTTTTGTTCTCCGTCGCGCTGCTAGCATGTTCTTGTGCTATGAAGGTAGATTTGTTTCTTTTTTATTCAATCAAACAAAAAGGTTGCTTCAATCAAAAAATATACTTTCAATTAAAAAAATCTTCACTTCAATAAAAAAAAAAACTTTTCAATCAAAGAAAATAGTATTTGAATGCAAAAATATATTTGAGACTCAAAAAAATACATTTGAACACTGCTTTTCTTTGATTGAAAATGTTTTATTTGATAGAAGTCCAGTCTTTTTTGTTTAAAGCAACTTTTTTATTTGAAGTAAAATTGTTTTTTGATTGGACCATATAATGGGTAGGACATTTGGGTCTTTATTATTCAATTCTCATGTTTGATTGACACTTGTCAAATTTGAACTTCAAAACTTTTTGCACTTAAAGAAAAAATGATTCAAATAAAACAATTTGAACTTTAAATTTTTTTCACTTCAAAAAAAAAAAAAAAAAAAACAACAACGAAAAACACATTCTCTTCAATACTTTTTTATTCTTGGGGTAATTTTTTTTTTTTTTGCATTTGATTTTTTTTTTTTGTTTTTTTTTTTGATTGAAACAATTTTTTGGGAATTGAATGATTAAGATACACATGTCCTACCCATGTATGTCTCAAACACAAAATAGATCTCTTCAACCAAAGAGAACATTTTCAACATTAAAAAAAAAAGTGTTCAAATGCAATTTTTTGAGTCTCAAATATTTTATGTGCTTTCAAAAACTGTTTTCTGTGATTGAAAACATTTATCCTTTTATTGAAGTTACTTTATTTTTATTGATTCTGTTGTTTGTTTGAAGCAACTTCTTTTTTGATTGAATAATAAGGACCAAAATGTCCTACCCATTATATGGTCCAATCAAAAAACTACTTTACTCCAATTAAAAAAGTTACTTTAAACAAAAAAAAGAGTGCACTTCTATCAAATAAAACATTTTCAATCAAAGAAAAGCAGTGTTTAAATGTATTTTTTTGAGTCTCAAATATATTTTTGCATTCAAATACTTTTTTTCTTTGATTGAAGCAACCTTTTTTTTGATTGAATAATAAAGAAACAAATCTACCTTCATATTGTGCTAAATGAAAATTAGCTCCTTATTCTTTCATTTTCAACTTTAACTTCCCCCTCTGGCGGTTAGGAAAAATCCACAGAAAAGCTGCATGGTTCAAAGTGTGGGAAAAGAGTAGCAGCTTATATTCCGGAAAATACGGTAATCATTTTTGTTTTGGGCTATTTCATAGCGTTTCAGCAGTTTTTGCTTGAACTTTCTGCCATTTTCCAAAGATAAGCTTCACACTGTGTTTTCCTGGGGAAATACAGTGTGATTGCTGTTCGCTGGAACTTTTTCTACTGTTTGATGTTTTCTTTATCTTTTTCTTTCTCCATATCTTGTTCCTCCAGCTCTGCAGAGGAAGCTTGAAACCCGCCCGCGGTTCCAATTCAATCCAACGTCTCTGATGGAACCCAGCCATCCGTAAGTTTCTGCTGGAGTCTACACCCGACCAGAAAACATCACAGCCTTCAAAAGCTGCTTGGTATCCATGACAATGAGGCTGTTGCTGGGTAACCAAGCAGAGCAGGAGGAGCCAGGAGAGAACCTGCTGTCAGAAAGAAGCTACGTGGGACAGGAGGAACCGCTGGTCCACAGATCAGATGGTTCTACTGAGGTCCAACCCAGATAGGGACTGAGACGTCCGTCGGATTCAGAGGGAAATGGATCAGAACCAGTGGGTCCTTTAGCCCCTGATCGACCTTCCAGCGGTCCGCGGTTTATGAGCAGAACCTGCAGCTGCTGATCCAAACCCACAGAAGAACAAGATGGTTAGGAACATCTACCTGAGATGATGGCGCCGTGGAAGTCCGCCTTCACAAGCTTCTGCTGCACAAACTGTGGACTGCTGTAAAAACACCAAGGATCAGAACCAGAGCATCTGACATCTGGAGGTGTCTTTAGGTGGACCTACCTGCTGTGCCTGAGTCCACCACAGAGCTCCCTGATGTACTGGGTCCACAGTGCGTTCAAAGGCAGGAAGAGATCGTACCTGTGGGTCCAAACGGAGAGACGGCTCAGAGACACGGGTCCAAACAGAGAGACGGCTCAGAGACACGGGTCCAAACGGAGAGACTGCTCAGAGAGACGAGTCCAAACTGAGAGACTGCTAAGAGACACGGGTCCAAACGGAGAGACTGCTCAGAGAGACGAGTCCAAACGGAGAGACGGCTCAGAGACACGGGTCCAAACTGAGAGACGGCTCAGAGACACGGGTCAGAGAGACAGGTCCAAACGGAGAGAGACGGGTCAGAGAGACAGGTCCAAAAGGAGAAATGGGTCAGAGGGAGAAGGGTCAGAGCGACGGGTCAGAGAAGTACAGGTCAGAGAGACAGGTCCAAACGGAGACAGTCGGGTCAAATCCCCCCCAGCGTCCCTTTAACTGACCTCTGGTGTTCAGGTCTGATCTGGTAGACCTTCATCATCCTCTTCTGTCGGGCGTTCAGTCCTTTGGCCTTCTTGCTGCTCCGCCTGGTTCTGTCCTTCTTTGGACGGCTGTAGTCCAGGATCAGGGCCTTGTGGGTCAGAACCTTCTGGACGTCCAGACGTGTCTGCCTCTGAACGCAGTTCCTCAGGTAGGCCTCAGTAAAGCGGGTCGCCCTGGAAACAGCATGACCCTGGGAGGGAGACGGAGAACATCAGGGCTGGTCTGAAGTTTCCAACAGAGCAGCTGAAGGACATCAGCTCACCTCCACACCAAGACGACCCTCCAGGCCAGGAGGGAGGGGCGAGTAGACCTGAGCTTCTCCTACAGGGGACAGATGGACGGACTGCATGAGGTTCATGGATATATTTCTGTGTCCACTGAGAAAGAATGTGTTTGAATCACTAATTATTCAGCAGCTGTTAGATGACCTGATGTTAATAATCCTAAATAGCTGTTCTTTAAACTGGGAATCGTCTTTTAGCATCGCTTCAGTACAGTGGTGGCTATGCAGACATCCACGGTCAGGATTTACAGATCGCAGCATCAAATCCAGAGATTCTTCAACTGTTTTCTCATCTACATTGACTTTGGATCATTAAGTATCAAAGTTAGAGATGAAAAAGTAGGAGGACAGGCCCCGGCAACGAGCTTTTCTGGTTAAAATGGAAGTTAGAGGAAATGATGATGAAGAATGATGTGGGAAGGCTCTGAAAGATGTTTTCATTTAGCCCTAGAAGAACTGCTTCACCATCATACTTCCAAAGACCAACAGTTTTCAGATTTGAGGAACACATGTTCAGTCAGTCTACTACATATCAAAACGACCTGCCATAGCCTGTTGAGACCATTATAACATTACAGCTTTATTTCTGGAATGATGCATTTAGCTCTGATCACCTGGCAGCAGATGAAGAATAAAAACTTTGTTCTAGATACTTCATAAATAGAACCTGTTCATCATCCCATGGGTTCCTCCTGTTGTATTGATTCAGTTTTCATTTACACAGTAAATACTAAATACGGATGTTATCATCCCGATAAATTCTATTCCGTTTATTTCTATAGCTCCAATTCACAACACATGTCATCTCAGGTCACTTTCCAGTTCACCAGATCATCCAGTCAGATTGATTTAAAGTTTTCTATCTAAGGAAAACCAGCTGATTGCATCGACTCATTGACTCTCCAGCAATCCCTCACACTAAGCATGCTTGTAGCGACAGTGGAGAGGAAAAACTCCCTTTGAACAGGAAGAAACCTACAGCAGAACCAGGCTCAGAGTGAGCGGCCATCTGCTGAGGCCGACTGGGGTTCAAGGAGACAGAAGCAGACATAGAAAAAGAAGCATAGATACAAAAGGCAACCGTCAACCAGCTCCACAGGCGGCCCCGTCCAGGAAACACACAGCCAGGCAGACGAGCTCCGAGCCAGCTCCCATGTCAGAGGATGAAGAGAGCACATCCAGTTAGTCACAGTCAGAGAAACAGGACTACACTGGAAAACAGGCCAAGCTCCAACATCTAGAAACAAAGGTGTTGATGGCAGCAGCACAGCTGATATTTCTCTCTTGGATGGAGTCACAGCCAAACAGGAACAGACCAGATGAAGCTACTATGAGAAAAAGCAGAGAGAGCAGAACGTTAGAGATTGAACTAACAGATTCTACAGAGTGGGAGAATAGAGATAGAATGAAGCAGAATGATGAAAAAGGGGTCCCTATGTCCTCCAGCAGTCTAAGCCTATAGCAGCATAACTATAGAGATAGCTCAGGATAACCTGAGCCACTCTAACTAGAAGCTTTATCAAAAAGGAACGTTTTAAGCCTAGCCTTAAAAGTAGACAGGGTCTAAATGAATGGTCATTATTATCGGTTATCAGTCCCATAAAATGGCTTCAGATCGTGCCAGAAGGATCAGTAGGTTGTTATCACTAAGCCTATAAAGCAGTTTATTTCCTGGTGCTGAAATTATTTATTAGCCCACAGAGACCTCTGCAGTTTCCCAGCTGCTGCCACCCGTGGATCCATCACTGCTGCTTTAATAAAGGGCTATAGGTGCTGCTGTGATCTTTATTTATGGAAATCAGTAAACAAACGGTCAAGGCCAGCAGCATTGGTACCATGTGAGCAGGTCTCCTCCGTGGCTGCAGAGGCAGGGAGACTGAAGAGATGCGGACTGAAGCAAAGCACTGCTGGAATTAGTTTTTTAATAAATATTGTTTAACCAAAGAGCAAAGTTGAACAGCCATCCCTGTTTACCAATGTAAAGTATCATCAGGATGGCCCCAAGAGCGGAAGCACAAACTCTTCTCCTCAACCTTTAGTTATAAAACGCCCAAAGTTATGGAGGCTTGAGTGGCCGTTATGAATCCTGCTATTATAGAACAAACTGGCTGAATCCTGAGCCGGCCTGAGGACCTACCCTTAAAGGGGTGATAGAATGATTCTATAGGGTATCTGGTCCTTCAGGTCTCTGAATAGGGTGTGTAACATTGGTTGGGCTGGAAATGGCATATTAGCTGTTATATAAGCCCTAATGCAGCCTGGTTAAAAGCTCTAGAATGAAACGACAGATTTTCTTCCTTCGATGGATGATAGTGAATATTTAGATGAGCTGTGCTCTGATTGGTTGGTTTACAACGAGCCAAGCTGCTAAGCAAAGACGCATCATAGCAACAAGCACTCACTCACTGAAACATGAGATTGTTGGTATGGTAGGATGACCAGACGTCCTCTTTTTCCCGGACATGTCCTACTTTTCAGACCCAAAAATGTCCCGGGGGAATTCAAAATCGCCCGGGATTTTGGTCGACTACAGTGCAGCAGAACCGACCCGTCAGCTCCAGGGGGGCAGGAGCCAGCAGGGGGCGGAGCAACCCAACCTGACCCGGTGTTGGTAGCCTGGACACAGGTGGCCCCGTGCTTTCCCCCCGCCTGCTTTACCAGCCCCCCCTCCTCCGGCTGAGGACGGCGAGTCTGCTAAGGTCCGGTCCAGTAAGCGGTCCAGCAGTCCACACTGCATTGCCTGGAACAGTGACAGCTATATTAGCTGTGATCAGCGGGTAAAAAGTAGTTTGAATCTATGTTGAAGTGAGAAAGTCCTCTTGAAAACATGGTCGTCTCTTGGGGGTTTTCCCCTAGTGTTGGTGGCGGCTGGAAGTAGATGTTAGCGTTTTTCAGGTCTGTGCTACAAACTGCAGGCAGCAGGATAATAAAAGCCAACATATTCTGCCGGCAGGTTTCTACATTTGAAGTTAATTTAGGCGTTAATAAACTGTTTCATAGGAGTGATCATAGCGCTCTGCATCAGCAGTGCTGTGTCTGACTCCCTGCCAGCACCCAGATCAGCTTCTCTCATTGGTTGATGTGTCCAGCAGCTAAAGTTCAATTTTTCCAGCTCTAGCAGCTGCTGCGTTTGCAGCGCGTCACGCGCCTCAGATGCTCAGAAGCATGTGAGATGTTGCTTCAGCTGCTCAAAATGCGCTGCTGGACCTACTGCTGACGCCTTGACTTAGCATGGAAACCAGCTGCTTCCGCTGCTACCAGTCTGAATGTAGCATTACTCTCAGCTGTGGAAGGCGACAGACTGAAGGTGGGGGGGTATGAAGGAGAATGGGACGGCCTCTTCCCTCCTATGGAGAGGGAAAGCAGTGGCTGTAGCTCTGCAACGCAGGGTGACATAAAATATAAAATATGCCCATTTCTTTCAATAAATCTTTACAGTCTGATAAAATTATTTCAAAGAGGAGAGGCCTTCCATGTTGGAATTATTTACCATATTTTCCTAAAATAACTTCATAACATTTTCTGTCGATGTGATGAAGATGCAGTGGAACTGACATTAGAATGTATGCGTTTCCTCCGCCACTAGTTCAGTGTGACACCAGCTGCTGAATTCCAACAACCTTTATATTATTAACTTTATTCAAAGTACAAACAATTAAGGTAACAGTGCAAATCTGTGGAAGGCATAGCAGAGGCAGATTTCATTGATAATGAATGATAATAATGAAACAATCACCATGGCAACAAGGTGATTCATGTTAGCATTGATGAACATCGGTGGGCAAACCATCAGTATTTCAGTCAGGGATTCTTGACTCGATACATTTAAGAGATTTCAAATATAACTTGAATTCAGATTTAAAAAAACGTTAAATATTGGAGATGATCTCAACACTCTTTGTTTATGAATTAAGAATTTTGCTAAACACAAAATTAGGTTAGAACTGAGTTCTATTGTTTTGTTTTTCAATAATATTCCAAAAGTTACCATATCTCTAGAGATAGACTGAGGAAGTGAATCGTGTCGCCTGCGCTGTGCGGAGATGCAGGGGAAACCGTATCTGAAGCTCGATGTGGCGCCTCCTGCTGTCTGTTAGTCAGAATGACAATTCTTCATGTATCACGTGACTTTTGGCAGAAACTTATCGCAGAGTGTGAAGAATTGTCTCGTACGCGAGGTGAGGCTGTTTTGAACTCGGGGACAATTTACAAATTAAATTTTCAGTGCAATGTTAGAGTCTGGTTTGTAAAACTATTTTTTATTTGTGTGTGACAGAGGAGAGTTTGTAACACAAGTTTTATTAGTCAAAATTTTAGTGCAACATGTTTATTTATGAGTGATAAGATTTGTTTGTGTGAAACATGCTTTATGTGTGCGCAACATGCATTTTTGTAGGCGACGTTTTAGCAGAAAAATCACTCCATAAATCTAATAATTACCACAACAATGTCATCGATCCATGTATATTACATGTTCTTCAGCTAATTAGCACGTTTGGCTCATCTGTATTATTCTGCTACATTAACATTCATTTCATTGTGATGGATTGAATAATATGTTATATTACATGATTTCCAGTGTGGATCAAAGTGATGAATTTATCTTTATTTTAAAAGTCTTCAGCCTCCCTGAAAATCAGAACATCATGGTTGTTCCATGCTGCAGCTCACAGATTGTGTTTTTTTTTTAATACAACTTTGTTTCTGCAAAGAACAATACACAGCAAGGAAAAATAAACATAAACTAAGATCTTAAATCTATTAAACAAAAGTTAACGCGAGGGGGAAGCAGCGCTCTAAATAATATTAAAAAGGACAAAGGCTTCTCTAGTTTTGATAATTGTATGGTGTCATATTGTTTAAAGGAAAAGTACACCCAAAACATGATTAGCCTTCATTTTCTACTCACCCCCATGCTGAACAACACTCTGGAGTACTTTTTTGATATCTCAAATGCATCTGGAGATCTGGGAGGCTTCTTGCTGTCTGCTGACATTCAAATAATGGAGGTCTATGGTGCCCGAGAAAGAAAGGTCCATAAAAGTCCACAAAAAACGTGTCAATATTCCTCCATACTGTTCGTCCAATGTATTCCAAGTGTCCTGAGTGGGTAGCATCCAGAATTTACTCGAAACGAAGTCATTTAGAATGTTTTTAGAGCATAAACAGTAGTGTATAGGATTTCCTGAAAGCGCGTTCACGAGTCTACGGAAACCGCGTCAGACCAAACCAGATGAAAGTGCGCATTCAGCTCGGCAAAGAACTCATGCTCTTCCTCAACATTGAAGTCCTCAGACATTTTTCTTTCGTTGTTTCTTTCTTTGCACAGGTAAACAGCACATTTCTTCTTCTAGGCTTGCATTATCGGCAGAGCAGACGCTGAATGCGCACTTTCATCTGGTTTGGTCTGCCGCGGTTTCCGTAGACTCGTGAACGCGCTTTTAGGAAATCCTATACACTACTGTTTATGCTCTAAAAACATTCTAAATGACTTCGTTTCGAGTAAATTCTGGACGCTACCCACTCAGGACACTTGGAATACATTGGACGAGCAGTATGGAGGAATATTGACACGTTTTTTGTGGACTTTTATGGACCTTTCTGTCTCGGTCACCATAGACCTCCATTATTTGAATGTCAGCAGACAGCAAGAAGCCTCCCAGATCTCCAGATGCATTTGAGATATCAAAAAAGTACTCCAGAGTGTTGTTCAGCATGGGGGTGAGTAGAAAATGAAGGCTAATCATGTTTTGGGTGTACTCCTATAAGTTCGTGCTTAAAAGCAGTAATGCTGGTTTGGAGCCTCTATAAAGACCTTGGCCATAATAATAATAAAGTCAATTATATATACCTTATCTGATCTCTTTGGTTGAACCTTGCGATTTCCCTTAATGCCGAATAGTATAGTCTTCCAAAATAAAAGAAAATCTTTGTCTATTTTTCTTAATTAAATAATAAATACCGTACCAGAAGGACTGGATAAGTGGGCGGCTCCAGAATAGATAAACAGGTGTTTCAGGATTATTACAGCAGAAGCTGCAAGTGACATCAATGTTTTTTAAAGAGTTTCTGGATAAAGACTTTGGTAGGAGCGCCGATTGTTTACATTCTGACTGCTCTAACTAGGGAGTACCAATATGGCGGCCGGTGGTTTCACTCCAGCCTGTACTAGCAACAGATCAGCAGTCAGTAACCCAGGGAATAACAGAGCTCAGTGATTGGGCGCCTAGTTCAGCAATGAATGAATGAATAAATTAACGAGTGAGTGAGCGTGAACGCGGCCTTCAGCTTTATCGCCGTGAGGTGCTTCTCTCAGCATCCAGCAGGTGTCGCCATGTTGAACTCTATCACTATGGATCCTGGTGTCCAGTTGTGGTGAAGCGGTTCACCAGGCTCTGGATTCACCATCTCTACTCACCTTCCATCGCCTCTTTCAGGGTCTGACGGCACCGACTGGACCTCTGGATGGATCCAGGATCAGAACCGGACCTCCAGAACCACTCAGGCTTCCACGAGCTGTTTCCGCTTAGTTCCACCGGAAGCGGAAGTTGGTTTCTTTTTTTTTTTTTTATGCTTTATTGGCAATTCCGTGTAACATTACAGAATAAATCAAACATCAAACACAGATATACAACATTTGGTGACATTATAACTTTAAGAAAAACGAGACATAGAAGGTAAGAAATAAATAAAATAAAACAAGGGAAACAAACAAATAAATAAATAAAATAAACAAATAAATAAAATAAACATAAAATAATAATAGCTAGGGGTTTACATAGATTTTACGGTCATTTACAAAAGTGTATAATTTTATACCATTATTCTTCTTCATAAATTTATGTGATTGAAAATACAAACAACGTTCTTTAAGAAAAACGTTGAAGTTTGGCTTGGTCCTCATGTATTTGTTTTTTTGAATGTAAAATTTCCCCATCATGAGTAACACATTAAAGGCTAGGTCCTGCAGCTTATCTGTCATTTCTAGTCCAAACAAAACATTCTCTTTGTCCAGATGAGAAGGAGGATCAAATTTAGATGAACACCAGAAGCAGAAATCTTCCCAGAAAACTTTCACGTACATACAATCGTAAAAGAGGTGACCAACAGTCTCAGTTTCACATTCACAAAAGGTGCAATCATTTTCTTCAAAAACCAAAACAGAGCCTCAGAATTTCCTTGGAAGGATAAATGTCAGTGATTATTTTGAAATGGACTTCTTTAACCTTTGGAGCAACAGGAAACTGTAGATATTTATTCCGCAGTTTTCCCACTTTCTCTTTTGGAAAATGCTTGGAGATTAGGTTTCTGTGGGATGTATTGGGATGAAATTCCTTGACAAACAAACTATGTATGACATTGTTGGTCAGCTTTTTATCAATTTATCAAAAGAAGTTTTACCTGGACATGGTTTAGGAGTAGGTTGTATGACATTATGATCAGAGGCTGAGGAAGGGCTGATTAATATATTATATTGTTTTCTGTTATTTATTTTGAATTTAGAGCAAAGAGTTTCAAAAGGTAAAAAATTCCCTTTGTCATCAAGAATGTGCATTATCGACCAAATACCACTTTCTAGCCAGCTCTTGTAAAATAAAGACTTGTTCCTGAATAGGACATATCGGGAGTTCCATAGTGAGGTGTTATGAGGACTAAAATTATGCTTAAATATTAGTTTCCAATAAAGTAAGACGCGTTGATGAAAAGAAGAAAGTTTAACAGGAAGTTTCTTAGGATCAAAGTCACATTTAAGAAGGAAGTTAATTCCTCCTAATTCTATAAATAATTTGGAGGGGATATGAAACCAAAAACTATTTTCATTTTTCAGAAAAGATTTGAGCCAATTCATTTTAATCATTCCGTCTAAACATTCAAAGTCTATTGCTTTAAGACCTCCATCATTATACTCTTTAACCATTGCTCCTTTCCTAATGTAGTGTGTCTTGTTTTTCCAGATAAAGTTGAAGTTAATTTGATTTATACTTTAATTGCATGTTTAGGAAGGGATATGGAATAAGCTGGATTGATAAATCTTGAGAGACATTCCATTTTTGTAAGGAAAGTTCGACCAAAAATTGATATGTCACGTTGGGACTACAAATTTAAGTTAAGTTTACATTTATCTAAAATATTCCAACAGTTTAGTTTTTCCAGTGATTTATTTTCTTTGGTGATGTGAACACCAAGATATTTCACGGCAGATTTAACAGGGATGTTATGAATGGCAGTCTGGGAAGAGTCGTGTATCGGTAACAATTCACATTTTTTTAAGTTTAATCTCAGAGTAAAACTCTATTAATTGGAGGATTTTTGGTATTTGATTGCTGTTTTTCATTAATATGGCCGTATCATCGGCTAGTTGGGTTATGGCGATTTCATTGCCTGAAACATTGAGTTTCTCAAAATCTGCCTTTTTAATAAGGATGGATAACATCTCTGCTGCAGCGATGAAAAGTAAAGGAGAAATAGGACATCCCTGTTTAATGCCTTTATTAATAGAGACTCTAGAAGAGATGCCATGTGGCAGTGAGATCACACTGTTTGTGTCATTGCACAATGTTTTTATTAAATTTAAAAATTTAGGTCCAAAGCCAAATAATTCTAAGGTGTGGAACATGAATTTGTGTTCTATGGTATCAAATGCTTTAAAGAAATCTAAAAATAAAATAAAACTTTCATCTTCAATTAAATGATTATAGTCTAGTAGATCAAATATAAGACGGACATTTTTATGGATTGATCGTCCTTTTAGAAACCCCGACTGTGTGTCTGTAATAATCTGAGGCATCCCTGTTTTTAATCTGGAAGCATAAATACAGGTTAGAATTTTATAGTCGTTATTGAGCAAAGATATTGGTCTTAAATTATCAATTAATCTAGAGTCTTTTCCTGGTTTTGGGATGAGGGTGATGATGCCTTGCTTCATGTTTGGAAGACCGCAGGTATCAGAGATCTCTTTTAACATAAGAAAGAAGAGGTCTTTTAGGTGATCCCAGAATTGTTTATAAAAATTAATTTTCAGTCCGTCTGAGCCGGGAGATTTATCTACAGATAAGCATCTCATGGCTTTTTCTACCTCCTCCAGAAAAATCTCTGCTTCACAAACCTCCCTGAAAGCATCATCCACCTTAGGAATCAGACCTTTCACACGGTTAAAAAAAAGCTTCAGCATCATGAGAGGAGTAGGAGGAGGAGTACAACTGAAAGATTGCTTTTGTAATCTCTTTGCATTCTTTGTCATTAATTATCAGAGTTTTCACGTTATTATGTTCTTGACTTCTTTTTTCTAACCTGCAGAAATAAGCTGAACTTCTTTCTCTCTCCTCCACCCACTTTGCTCTAGATCTTATATATGCACCGGTGGCCTTGGCAGTATAAATATTATCCAGGGAGGATTGTAAAAAGATAAGCTTTTGCTTCTCACCCTCATTGATTACAGGTGTGTGACGGATTGAGGTCATTCCGCTAACTCCTTTTGTTTATTTACCCTTCTTATTCGTTTGCCATTAATAATTGAAATCTGACGAATCTTAAATTTTAGAAATTCCCACTTGTCTCTATGAGTAATGAAATGCAGATCATTATTGATCTTGTTGATTGCAGTAACAATTTCTTGACAGTATTGTTCATCTCTTAAAAGGCTAGAATTGAATTTCCAATAACCTTTATGTCTAGAACAAGCATTATGGGGTTGAATAGTCAGGGTAACCATGCAGTGATCTGTTAACGGTGCAGCAGAAATGTTAACTTTGGAAACAAAATGCCTATTTTCTGACACCAAGCAAAAATCCAATCTGGATTTAGCACTGCCATCAGGTTTAAACCATGTAAATGCTTGTACATCAAGATGATCTGGCCGCCACACATCTGTTAGATTGAACGCTCTACAGAAGTTTAGGAGCAGTTGATTGTAATGGTGGTTCTGAAACGTTGATGGAAATCTGTCTAGCCATTCATTTTCCACCATATTTTAATCTCCACCAATTATAACGTTCTGTGTAGGATATCTGACTCAATTCTTTAAGTGAATTTGAAAGCTCCGAGATTAAAAGCTTGTTTTGTGTAGTAGAATGAAATCCATACAAATTCCCCAGGATCACAAAATTCTCATCAATTCGGAATAAACATATAATCCAATGGCCAGAGTTATCTTTCTTTGTAACTAACAACTTTCCAAGAAAACTGTTCCGGGATATCGCAACGTCTGCTGATCTGTTGCTGCCAGGACTAAAGTAGATTCTGTCGCCGCACTGAGTCGACCAGAACGTTTCATCTGTTTCAGTTGAGTTTGTTTCTTGAAGAAGAAAACATTGAGGTTTTTGATTTTTACAAAAAAGAAAAGCTGATTTCCTTTTAATAGAATCTCTCAGACCCCTAACATTAAGTGAAACATAAGAACACTCAGAAAATAATGAGGACATACAGGAATGAAAAAAATAAGAATGTGGATTTAGAGAAGCAGGTACTAAAGCCAAGTATTAGTAAAGCCCCTGATCATTTTCAGTCATAAAACTGAAGAGCTTAGCCTAAGTTTTTTTTATAAACCCTAATGTGAACGTTTTTTATAACTTATGGAAAATTTTAAATAGAAAAAAAGTCTTTATAGAAGCTATGGAGACACCGGATATCAGAGTGTATACAGGTATAAAAGATGGTTAACATTAGTTTTCTCCCAACAGGGAAATCAATTATAAATTCTTATTAACTGTTTGAACAAACTAACAGAAATCAGTTTTAACTAAACTTATTCTTATACCAAATTGGGAAATTTAAATGATTAAGATAAGTTTAGTTATAACAAGGCAGTATTTTGAACATCTTTATAAAGCAAGGTTGAGGGCATTTTGTTTTTACCGGACTGATCCAAAGGAACCCTGTTAGCGTTGATGTAGCCCACATGTCCTCTGAGATACACGTTTTTCCCTGCAGCCCGGGCTGCTCCATCTTTGGCCAGGCTGCCGCTCGCGCCTCTCGGTCGGCTTTACAGAAGTCTTGCTTGAAGACAATCCCCAGGTCTTTGCAGGTTTTACAGTTTTTGGACGTCTTCCAGATTACATCTCTGTGGTGCCTCATTGCAAACTGCAGGATGACCTGACGGTGTCTGCCTTCCTCTCTTCTTCCCAGTCGATGAACAGAGTCCACCACCGTTTCCATGGTTGCAGCTAACTGTGGTGCTATTTTGGAAAGGATACCCACAGTGATTTCCCATAGATTCTCGTCGTCCTTTTCTTTCAGACCTTGAATCTTTAAATTCCATCGCCGCTTATACTGCTCCAGCTCTGTCACTTTCTCTTTCAGATCATTGTTTTCTCTGGCAATCTTTGGTATTTCTTTTTCCATTCCTTCAATCTTAGATTTGCAATCTTTTATCTCTGCTGCGTTCATTTCCACCAGCTTAGAGATATTCGCAACCATGATTGAATTTTCCGTTAGCTGGAGCCCGAAGCTGTCCATTTTAGAAATTAGTTTTTCTATGGCAGCAACCAAAGCCTCGTTTGGCATGGCTGAGGATTCCTGCACAGTTTTCATTTTTTGTGGTGGAACTGAA